AGGCAATTGGTGACTTTGAGCCAATCACCCAGGGACTATGAGTTCTGCTTTATGCATGATAGGCAGATGGTGATTTTGGGCCAATTACCAGGAGACTGTGAGTTCTAGTCCTGCCTTCGGAATGAAAGTCAATTGGTGACCTTGGGCCAATCACCAGGATACTGTGAGTTCTAGTCCTATTTTAGGCATGAAAGGCGGATGAGTGACTTCGGGCCAATCACCCGGGGACTGTGAGTTCTGCTTTAGGCATGACAGGCAGATGGGGACTTTGGACCAATTACCAGGAGTCTGTGAGTTCTAGTCCAGCCTTAAGCATGAAAGGCAGATGGGGACTTTGGGCCAGTCCCTCTCTCTTAGCCCAATCTACCTCCCAAGGTTGTTGTGGGGAAAATAGGAGGAAGGAGTGTTATGTATGAGTGCTGCCTTAAATTACTTGTAAAAGTAATAAAGGTAGCATGAAAAAACCTAACAAATCCATAAGAATTAAAAGGGAGCCTTGAAGTTGCCGTTTTTTTTCCAAAGGAGGTCACCTGTATTAAAAAAAATATATATCTCTGCTCAACTTTGCAAATAAAATACAACAGTTAACAAGCCCAGGCGCTTCCTGTAAACACAGCAGTCATTTTAAAAGAATGTAGCTTTCCAAGCCCGGAGGTTTTCCAAAAGGAAGAACGGCAATGCTGGGTTAAAAGTTTGTGGGTATTTGTGGAGCAAATTATCACAGTTAGTGAGATTCCAGATGGGTTTATTCTCCCCATCCATAACTTTTGCTAGAGGCAAAAGAAAAGGTTAAAAAGAAAACAAACAGCATAATGTTCCTGTTTTGTCTATTTTGCATAGCTAACAAAAGCAATTTTACTTAACAAAGACTGCAGTCATCTCAGTTTTCTGCCCAGCAAAGCAACCCAAGCCAAAAACAAACAAAAAAAAAGCTACATAAAAGGACTATTTAAGCGTGCAAATACAAAGGGAACTTCAGTTCCCTGCATTTCTTATTGAAATTCAGGCTCACTCTGTCTTGGCAAGTCCGAGCAAACCAGGATAACCGAACAAGGTAGAGGAAAAGTCTACAAAAGAAGATTTTTGCCAGTGCTTAAAAAGCTTTTTTCCAATTGCAACTGGTCATCTGTCCTTTTAGGTGGCACAGTGTCCTGTACCTGAAGAAAATTTGCACAGATGTCCAGCAGGCAAAGCTGGCTTAAATTTAGACCACTGATCCGGAGAACGAGAAATGCTGAGGGATTTAGTAAAGTCTTTAATAGAATTATTTGCTTTTTTCCCCTCCAGGAGGCCGCCAGAGATGAGTAGCAGCTGAAGCCATACTAAAAGCAAAGCCCTGCCATGAACAAAAAGTATTCTACAGGCAGTCCTCAACTTACAACAGTTCGGTTAGTGACCATTTGAAGTCACAACAGCACTTAAAAAAGTAATTAAGGACCATTCTTCACACTTACGACCATTTCAGAATCCCCATGATCATTCAGACGCTTGACTCATACTTATGACTGTTGTGGCATCCCAAGGGTCTTGTGATCCCCTTTTGCGACCTTCTGACAAGCAAAGCCCATGCGGAAGCCAGATTCATTTAACAACGATGTTACTATCTTAACAACTGCGGGTATTCACTTAACAACGGTGGGAAGAAAGGTCCTAAAATGGGACGAAACTCACTTAGTGAGCGATGTCTTGCTGAGCAACAGAAAAATGTGTGGTCGTTAAGTCGAGGCCTACCTGTATTTCACCATTTTGCAGCTAAATTTCGGCAGCGTGATTTCAGGAAGCTCGGTCTGCCTGTGCAGGTAGTCCTTGAGTTACGACCACAATTGAGCCCAACATTTGTGTTGCTAAGGGAAACGTTTGTTAAGTGAGCTGGCCCCATTTTACGACTTTTCTTGCCAGAGTGGTTAAGTGAATCATTGCATTTGTTAAGGGAGTAACATGGTTGTTAAGTGAATCTGGATTCCCCACTGACTTTTCTTGTCAGGTCGTGAAAGTGGATCACATGACACACACACACACACCCACGGGGCTACCGCAACCATCATAAATGTGAATCAGTTGCCAGGCATTTGATTTTGGATCGTGTGACCATGAGGAGGTGGCAATGGCCATGAAGTGTGAAAATTGGTCCTAAGTTGCTTTTTTCAGTTGTAACTTTGAACAGCCGCTAAATGAACTGTTGTAAGTCGAGGACTACCTATATGAGGGAGGTAGAAGGGTGCTAAAAGTGCATCCTCTCCTGTGCTAAGCTATAAACCATGGCTTATGAATCTCGATAAAAAAGCAAACTAAGCTACAGACAAACCAGCCGCAGAATCCACAAACTCAAACCGGAGTGCAAGCAACATGTTACACACATATATGCACACGCCCTTGATTTGCATCTGGAAGTTATGACGGCTATTCATAAGGAACCGCCAGATTAATTCACAATGCATATCGCAACATATTGCAAAGCATACAGGCCGTGATTCCCAGGCCTGAGGAAACTGCTATATAAGCAAGGGAGAGATTGCAAAAAAATAATATATATTCGTGGTCAGAATATTCTAAGCAATCAAGCATGGGAACGTCTGCTTTGCAACGCAGAATGGGAAGAGGGTTGAATCAGTGGGCGGGCAGGAGACTTAAAGGAACCCAGGGACATTCTGCACATTTATTTTTACAACTGAGAGTGGCTGTTATTGGTTCCTCTCTGGCTCCCACTGAAATCACAACCAGCTCTGAAAACATGGCGTGGGCCTCTCTCCCATGACTAAGACTAGCGGTAGCACTTAAGACTTATATACCACTTCACAGTGCTTTACTAAGCGGTTTACAGGGTCAGCCTATCGGCCCCAACAATCTGCGCCCTCATTTTACCCACCTCAGATGGATGGAAGGCTGAGTCAACCTTGAGCTGGTCAGGATCGAACTGCTGGCAGTGAGCAGTGAGTTAGCCTGCAATGCTGCATTCTAACCACTGTGCCTCCACGGCTCTAGAATCTAGTCCAGAATATTAGAACCTAGAAAGATAGGTCTACAAAGAATTTCTGTCTTTGAATCCCCTGCTTGTACCATACCACAACTGTGGGAGGCAAGCCATTCCATTGATTAACCGGTCTCACTGTCAGAAAATTTAATTAACAATCTGACTTGGTCTCTTCCTATGTTAGCGTGAAATAGTAAAGTGTGTAAATCAGTGTTTTGCATTTCTTGCATCAGATAAGGAGAGTACATCTTTCTCCTTTTGTCCTGACCACTTTTTACAGAGGCATGACTGAGAGCGTTTTAACTTAACTGTATCACCGTTTGGTTTGGTGGCTACAGCGCCTCAAATAGAAAGTCCATACAGAGAGTGGTAAGGACAGCGGAGAAGATTATAGGAAGCTCACTTCCTGTTATTCAGGATATTGCTTATAAGCTCTATGTGCTTACAGTTCAAAGCATCGTTAGAGACCCCACACACCCACTTTATGGTCTGTTTCTGTTGCTCCCCTCTGGGAAGAGATTTCAAAGTATTTCTAGCAGGGCTACCAGATTCTGTAACGGCTTTGTTCCTTATGTCATCCATAAACTTACAGGATTCTTTTTTCCGTCATGTATATGTATACATTTGAATTAGACTTTGATGTTTCACTGTGTCATATATGTGTGTGTATGTGGGTATATGCATAATGGTTATCTTTTGGGAGCTGAATGCAATGATATGTCATTTTAATGTATGCTGATTAGTGTCCATTTAAAATGACCAAATTCTATTCTATTCTATTCTGTTCCGTTCCATTCCATTCCACTCCATCCCATATATTCTGTTCTGCTCTATTCTATTCTAATTCTATTCCATTATTCCATTCCATTCCATTCCATATGTTCTGTTCTGTTCTGTTCTGTTCTGTTCTATTCTATTTCTATTCTATTCCATTCCATTCCATATGTTCTGTTCTGTTCTGTTTTATTCTATTCTATTTCTATTCTATTCCATTATTCTATTCTATTCTGTTCCATTCCATTCCATTCCGTTCCATTCCATTTCACTCCATCCCATATATTCTGTTCTATTCTATTCTAATTCTATTCCATTATTCCATTCTATTCTATTACATTCCACTCCATATGTTCTGTTCTGTTCTATTCTATTTCTATTCTATTCCATTATTCTATTTTATTCTATTTTATTCTATTCCATTCCATTCCCTCCCTTAATTCTTCTCTTCAATAGAGATACCTAGCTCCTGCAACCATTCATGATACAGTTTAGCTTCCAGTCCCCTGATCTTCTTTGTCGCTCTTCTCTCTATACTTTTTAGGGCGTCAGCATCTTTTTCATATTGTGGTAACCAGAACTGGATGCAGTATTCCAAGTATGGTCTCACCAGTGTGGTATAAAACGGTACTATCACTTCTCATGATCTCGATGCTATCCCTCAGTTGAGGGATAGTCTCCACAATCTATTCTCTGCACCTTCACCACGTGCACTCATGAGGGCTAGAAACATGCCTTTTACAAATCCCAGCTCTACAGCAAATTGCAAGCTCTTTTCTTTGGGAAAGAGAAATTCACAACTACCTTCAAATTTTCCATTCTTTCCTGGAAACATTCCGTTGGAAATCTTTTCTACTGAATCCCCAGTAATAGTTGAAAACGAAGCAAGTTACTTTACCTGTAGGTGTAGGGGCCAACTTCCTTGACAATCGGATTTTCCCCTTGAAGCACTTCTAAAGGATTAGTCAAGTTAAAAAAATAGACCTGCAGGAGAAGGGGTATTGGAGGATGCTCCCAGAATTTAAAAGCTTCCGAATTATTTCTTAAGACCGTTCCCTAAAGAAGAAAAGGCAAAAAGAGGGGGAAGAAACAATAGACTTTTAGCAAAAGCAGAGCATGCAATTGTACATGAAGGTAGAATAACAAGAGTTGGAAGGGACCTTGGAGGTCTTCTAGTCCAACCCCCTGCTTAGGAAGGACACCGCATGCCATTTCAGTCTCTTCTTTAAAAACCTCCAGTGATGGAGCATTCACAACTTCTGGAGGCAAGCAGTTCCACTGGTTAATTGTTCTAACTCTCAGGAAATTTCTCCTTAGTTCTAGGTTGCTTCTCTCCTTGATTAGTTTCCATCCATTGTTTCTTGTCTTACCCTCAGGTGTTTTGGAGAATAGATTGATCTATTCCTGTGCCACAAAGAAGAAGGGGTCAACCTATTCTTCAAAGTACCTTAAATTTTGGAACACTGGTAACATTTTGATAATATCCCTATTTCTCGGACTCACTGTCATGCAGCAGTGAGAAATGAGATGTATGAAAACTACAAATTGTGACTCTATGTACAAACCTCACTTGGGAATAAGCTTTTGTGGGGTTCTTGGTGCTCTCTGAGGGTTTATATATATATATATATATTTGCAGACATTTCATTACCAAATTAGATAACATCATCAGTGCTAGTAAGGGTTTGGTCGTTTAATCATTTTATATATAATAATGGTTTCTCCTGACGGTGTTGGTAAAAATGGACTTGGTGATTCCTTTTTGTCAGAAAACTGTAACAACCCAATCAAGAAACTTATCAAATTCACTCCCACCAACACTAACAGGCCAAGCCACTTGTTCATAAAATGAGAGCAAACCACACTCCCTACTAGCACTGGTGATGTAACCTAGCTGAGTCATGAAATGTCTTCAAGAAAACAGCCAAGCTCAGTGAGCATCAATTCAACCCTCTTCTATTGGAAATACGGTTTTTTTTCTTTTTCTTCTAGATACTTTAATTTTCTGCCTCTGAAAGTCCCACTTCTCTGCATACAATGGAGCACTCAAAAACAAATTATGCCATTTAATTGGAATCATGTACTCAGCCAAACAACCATTAGTGGCTTCACTATATGCTGAAGTATCAACTAAAACAGACATTGTTTTAGCAGGGGTGCGGGAAAGAGGGACATACACAGCCCTTCCCAATCTTGTGTTGGTTCAGCCACAGCAACGCAAACACAAGTTGTAGTTTACAATCTCCGGAGAAAATCATGTTTCAGGTTTTGTGAACTATTTGATAAGGTTACATCTCTGGAAAGCTCGCTGCCGCCCTTTACTTATACTAAAAAAAATAATTATGCCCTCATTTAATAAATGACATAATATCATGGATGAGGCAGACACAATTAACTTCAAAACTGAACCATTTTTCTCACCACAAAATGCTGTTTGGGCCAATCAGGCACGTTTGCACCTGAAACTATAAATTCTAGACTGTTTTGTTCAAAGCTACATCCAACTCCAGGATTATCCTCGACTGCCTACCTGCATTTCCCATATCTTAATTTAAACCGTTAAATCTTCGGAGCCTGTTTAGCAAACTCAAGGCCTGGCTATGTATTGCAACTGCAAATTAAACGATGCTTTGCTTGAGCCGAGGTCAAAACCCAGCTCTTTTCTCACTCTTGCCCTAACCCTTCACCAGATGTGCTTCCCTCCAGAGGTGCATCAATTTGAAAAAAAATTAAAAAACTTGCATTCACAAGTTCGGCTGCCTTTTCGGTCTTTGCAAGCGGGCAACCCTTAATGGGAGAGCAGCGGATTGAGAAATTCAGGGTGCAAAGGGTTACGAAGCCCTCCGCGGGGGAGGGCTTCCACCCAGGTGCTGGACACTGTGCCAGGATGGTGGGGCACGAAGCTCAGGGCCTGGATGGGGTGCCCCAGCCACGATCTGTGGCATGGGCGGGCACAGGATGGGTGCCAGGGGGCTGGGAAGGAAGCCTCCCCACCCAAAGTGCAACCGTTCCTTAAGCCCCCACGATCTGTGGCACAGGTGGGCACAGGGTGGGTGCCAGAGAGCTGCAAAGCAAGCCTCCCCACCCAACGGAGACAATGCAACCATTTCTTAAGTGCCCACGATCTCTGGCACGGGCGGGCGCAGGATGGGTGCCAGAGGGCTGCAAAGGAAGCCTTCCAGGCCCCTGGCACCAAAGGAGATGGTGCAATTGTTCCTTAAGCGCCCATAATCTGTGGGCCAGGTGGGCGCAGGATGGGTGCCAGGCAGCTGCAAAGGAAGCCTCCCCACCCAACGGAGAGGACGCAACCGTTCCTTAAGCGATCCTTCCTCCCCGCCACCAGCACCACCACCATCGGCCGGGGATGGCCACTCGGGGCAGATGCGCGCCTGGCCGCTTCTCACCTCCTTGATCTGGCCGTCCACCAGGTTCTCCATGATGTGGGCCGCCAGGAGGGCGATGCTGGCGATCAGGAAGGCCGGCGCCGCCAGACCCAGCGTGACAAGGCAGAAGCGCTTCATCGCGGCCGGGAGAGCCGAGGACTCGCAAAGGAGGCCGGAGGAAGGAGGGAGCGCAAAGATGATACCCAGCCCGAGAGAGCGCCGGAGGGGATATGGCAGCGCCTCCTCCTCCTCCTCCTCCAAACGGGCACCTCTTGGCTCCGAGGGGCGGAGGGAAGCCGGGAAACGGAGCGGCGCTTTCCCCCCCGCCCGATGCTTACTTTCGCTTTCCAAAGCGGGCTTGGCGCCTGCTCGGAATGAGCTCAGCCCGGATCAGCTGATGTGGAGGTCCCGTGTCCTCCTGACTTCTCGCCCCCTTTCTCTCCTTCTCCCCCCTTCTCTTCCTCTTTCCCTTTTCTCTCTCTCTCTCTCTCTCTCCCCCTCTTTTCTCTCTCTCCCTCTTCCTCTCCCTCTTTCTTTCTCTCCCTCTTTCTCATTCTCTCCCCGACCAGACGCCCAGTTTGCTTCTTCCTTGCCCCGCTTTGTTATAGTTGCAGATTGCCAAGGAAGGAAGGAAGGAAGGAAGGAAAGAAAGAAAGAAAGAAAGAAAGAAAGAAAGAAAGAAAGAAAGAAAGAAAGAAAGAAAGAAAGAAAGAAAGAAAGAAAGAAAGAAAGAAAGCCAAATGTTAAAACTTTATCCAGCTCGAAAGGGAGGAAGCTGGGCTGGAGCGCCCTGGGAAGTCGACGAGCGAGCGAGCGTTTCTGCAGCGGCGGGTTGGGTTTTAGTGGGTTTCCCCCTACAATTAAGGAAAGGGCGGGGTTTTTTTGGCTCAGGGGCGACTTGCCTGCAAAAGGGGAGGCTGGGGGGAGATGCATGTGGGTGCGGGTGTCTGCTCAGAGGAGTGGGAATGGGTTGCTTGCAGGGAGGCCGCTTTGCTGAAGGTTATAATCCCTGCCTGCCTGCCTGCCTGCTTCCTCTCTTCCTTCCCATATTCTTCCTGCCTTTCTCTTTCCTCTCCTTCCTTCCTTTTCCTTCCTTCCTTCCCTCACATACTCTTTCTGCCTTTCTCTTTCTTTCTTTCTTCCTTCCTTCCCATATCCTTCCTTCCTTCCTTCCTTCCTTCCCATATTCTTCCTTCCTTTCTCTTTCCTATATCCCTTCCAGTTTTCTTTCTTTCTTTCTTTTTTTCTTTCTTTCTTTCTTTCTTTCTTTCTTTCTTTCTTTCTTTCTTTCTTTTTTTCTTTCTTTCTTTATTCTTTCCTTCCTTCCTTCCTTCCTTCTTTCCTCCCTCCCTCCCTCCCTCCCTTCCTTCCTTCCTTCCTTTCTTTCTTTCTTTGCCTTCCTTCCTTCTTTCTTGTTCTCATGTATACCACCAACTCTGAGCAGCTCCCAATCCCAAGTGTAAACATACAAAAACCCATATTAAAACTATAAAATTAACACATTAGCATATTAAAAACAGTACAAACTTCCCATGTGCAATTCTCCAATCTTATCTTCATTGCTGCGGGGCAAAAAGCTAGGTTTTCCACAGTATGATTCAGTTGTTTGTTGTCATTAAAAATCAGCTGGTTTCAAAATGTTGAAAGAGAAAAGACAAAACAATACTAGAGAAAGGAGAAGCTGACTAAAAAACATTAAAATGTGACCTAATGCTATGAAAGCCACACCTCCCCAGAACAATCTCAAGGCTGTAAAGCAGGACCCAGACTTCTGAATTCTCAAGAATTTGGCAAAATGATAAAATAGTAAAGAAATTGAGGGCCTGACTCATAACTGCCTTTGCTCTCAGATGTATGTGTGGTGCCGAGTGAGCCTCAGGAGATGCAGCAATGGTATCTGGAGTCTTTTAACAGGTTTTCGAGTGGAGAAATTACACTTAGGCAAGAAAAACCAATAGTAGCCATATAGACTGGGTGAAACCAGGCTTAATAGCAGTAGCCGGGAGAGGGATCTTGGAGTGGAAAACCAGCTAAATATGAGCCAGCAGTGTGCAGCAGCAGCCAAAAAAGCCGGTCCTTCTCTTCCCTAGACTAGCCATGCCCAGTTCCTGCAACTGTTCATGGTATGTTTTAGCCTCTAGTCCCCTGATCATCCTGGTTGCTCTTCTCTGCACTTTTTCTAGAGTCTCAACATTTTTTTTCATAATGTGGTGATCAAAACTGGATGCAGTGCTTGCAATGTTACCTGAACGGCTTTATAGAGTGATATTACTACTTCCCTTTATCTTGATTTTATCCATTAATGCAACGTAGGATTGCATCGGCTTTTTTGGCTGCTGCTGCACACTGCTGGCTCATATTTAGCTTAGGCCAGGGGTTGGACTAGATGGCCTACAAGGTACCTTCCAACTCTGTTAATCTATTTCTAAATGAGCAAACAATACTTAATCTCCCATTGAAAATACCAAACCAGCTCAATTCCCAAAGTGGCTTCATCTTCAAGCAAAATAAACAGATTAAAGAAAGAGATTGGAAAGGTTTCACATTAACAAAACTTAAGCTATTCTTGGAGATTACCTTTGCCCTGATTTTTAAAGCTTTTTAGAATTAAAAAAATGAAATTAACTTTAAATTGTTTTTAGATTTAGGAAAATAAGCATGCTGCTTCTTTTTATGTACAAGAATGACTTGATCTTGATCAATGCAGTTGTTGAGTTAATAACACCTTCCCACGGTTGTTAAGTGAATTTGGTTTACCCATTTGACATTGCTTTGTCAGAAAGTCACAAAAGATGATCCCATGACCCTGGGACATTACAACCGTCATAAATACCTGCCAGTTGCCAAGCGTCTAAATTCTGATCTTGTGACCATGGGGAATGCTGCAATGGTCATAAGTGTGAAAAACGGTCGTAGGTCACTTTTTCAAGTGCAACGTTAAATGGTTGTTACATGAATGGTAGGACTACCTATAGTTGGGAAGAGGCGGGCCCTCCAATCACCTGGTGCTATACCATGTAGAACTTTTAAGGATCAAAACCAGTAACTTGAATTGAACCGGAGGAAAAAAAAATGGTAACCAAAGCAGCACATTGAACCAATGTGTAATGTATGTTCTTCTAGTCCAGGGGTGTCAAACTCGATTTCATTGAGGGCCACATCAGGGTTGTGTTTGACCTTGGGAGGGCTGGGGGGGGCATGGCCAGGGTGAGCGTGGCCAGCTCGATGTCACTCATTGAGGCTCCGTTGTGGGCCACGACAGTCTCCTGCATCCCACTGCCAGTGAAAATAGAGCTTGTGAGGGCCACTCACGGACTCCCCAAGCTCCGTTTTCGCTGGCAGAGGGTTGCAGGAGGCTGTCACGGCCCAAAATGGAGCCCTGGAGGGCCTCAGGCGGCCCTCCTTAGCTCCCTTTTCACTGGCAGAAGCACCGCAGGCCAGTCTTTCACTGTTTCCAGGGCAGGCCCACGGGCCAGACCTAAGCACCCCTTGGCCAGATCCGGTCCCTGGATGTTGAGTTTGACACCCCTGTTCTAGGACAGAAGTTGGGAACTATGGCCCCTTTATGACTTGTAGACTTCCACTCCCAGAATTCCTGAGCCAGCCATGAGAATTCTGGGAATTGAAGTCCAAACCTCATAAAAGGGCCATAGTTCCCCATCCCTGTTCTACAGCCACACTCAGAGGTGGGCTTCTGCCGGTTTGCACCAGTTCTGGCAAACCGGTAGTTAAGATTAGGTGCAGTTTGGTGAACCGGCAAATCCCACCACTGGCTGTCCCTGCCCCCACCCATTTTTCGGGCTGTTTTTCAGGCCGTTTTAGACCATTTTTGGGCCAAAAAACAGCCTGAAAACCACCCAAAAACGGCCTGAAAAGGACCCAAAAAGGGCCAAAAAATGGCCGAAAACCAGGCCGGGGTGGGGCCAGCCAGTGGTGGGATTACCCCCAACTGGCTGAACCTTACCTCTGCCTTTGAGGTGAGTGGCCAGGAGGCGGGGCTGGGTGTCATGAGTGACATCACCCACCTAGTCACATGAGCCACCGGCCATGCCTGCCCAGCCAGAGAACCGGTTGTTTAAAAATTTGCAGCCCACCATTGGCCACACATAACTGCCCCTGGAGCTGCATTATGTGCCAGCTGAAACATCCAGACAATCTTTTTAAGGGTAGCCACAGTCAGCCTTATTCAATAAACCAAACAGGAAACACCACTAGAATGAGCTAACTCTATTGTGACGCTACTTTCACAGAACCTTGCAAGTTTGAAAGTACAAATCTCCCACCATCTCTTTTACAATCTGGGAGTGTAGGGCGGTTCCTTTGTGAAGTCTCTTTTTCTACCCATTATGCAGCTTTGGGGCTCCCTATACTCTTATCTGATCATTCCCTTAGCCATACTTCTTCCCTTTATCTCCCCTATTTCCACATCTAATTACAGCCAGTTTATGAATCACCCCAAGTTTTTCCTGATTGCATTAGGAAGGAGGTAGTCCTTGACTTACGACCACAACTGAATCCAGAATTTCCATTGCTAAGCAAGACAGTGGTTGAGTGAGTTTGGCCCCATTTTGGGATCTTTCCTGCCACAGTTAAGCGAATCACTGCAGTTGTTAACTTAATAACATGGTTGTTCATCGAAACAGGCTTCTCCGTTGACGTTGCTTGGCAGAAGGTTGTAAAAGGTAGTCACATGACCACAGGACACTGCAACCATCATAAATACATGCCAGTTGCCAATTGTCTGAATTTTGATCATGTGACCCTCAGGATGGGGCAATGGTTGTATGAAAAACAGTCATATGTCACTTTTTTCAATGCCGTTGTAACTTTGAATGGTTATAAATTGAGGATTACTTGTATTAACTAATCAACTAACTAAATATTACCAGAGTGAATGGAGTAGCACCTGCTTTAGAAATCCATATGTCTAACAATGTGGTGTAGAGATTATGGTATTGAGGTAGGAATGGGGAAAATCTCAGTTTTAGGAACTCAAAGCCCAGTGGATGGATGACTTTGAATTCCTCCTCATCCGGTTCTTGTGAGGATAAAATAAATATCACAAAGATGCTTTTTCAAGAGGCAACTCGGCTTCCTTTGTTTTTCCTTGAAGACATTTCCCTTCTCATCCAAGAAGCTTCTTCAGCTTTCAAACAGCTGGTCATTTGCATCCTTCCAGACAGACATTAAGGCCAGTTGCAAGTGTATTTCAAGTGGCCTCAAGGACTCTCTAAAAGAATGCAAACGACCAGCTGTCTGCAAGGAGTATAAATCCTTCCATTCCCCACTATCCAGTTACAGCTGAATGTTGGATGAGAAGTGAAATGTCTTCAGAGAAAAACCAGAAAGTCCAGTTGCCTCTTTAAAAAGCACCTTTGGGACAACCAT